TCATTTTTAAATAGGAAGGAAGATCGGTGGCATAAAAGTTGGATAATAATAATAAGGAAATAAATTCTTTATTTAAACTGTCTTCAAATGTGAGGCCTGCACATGGAAACGTCTGTGTAGATTTTCCATGTAAGACATTGAAAAGTGGCATTAGAATAAATAGAGTAGAATAGAATAGAATAGAATGGAATGGAATGGAATGGAATGGAGTGGAGTGGAGTGGAGTGGAGTGGAGAGGAGAGGAGAGGAGAAGAGAAGAGAAGAGAAGAGAAGAGAAGAGAAGAGAAGAGAAGAGAAGAGAAGAGAAGAGAAGAGAAGAGAAGAGAAGAGAAGAGAAGAGAAGAGAAGAGAAGAGAAGAGAAGAGAAGAGTTGGGTTGGGTTGGGTTGGGTTGAGTTGAGTTGAGTTGGGTTGGGTTGGAAGGGACCTTGGAGGTCTTCTAGTCCAGCCCACTGCTCAAGCAGGAGAACTTACACCATCTCAGACAGGTGATTGTCTAGTCTCTTCTTAAAAACCTCCAGTGATGGACCGCCCACGATTTCTGGAGGCAACTTCTGTTCCACTGGTTGATTGTCCTCACTGTCAGGAAGTTTCTCTTTAATTCCAGGTTGCTTCTCTCCTTGATCAGTCTCCAACCACTGTTTCTCGTCCTTACTTCACCTAGAACTTGATGGGGCTTCATAAATCTTTCAGCTTGTCTGAAAGCTGTTTTTCAAGAAGGCTCACCGATAGGCCAATAACATTTTTCACCAGATGGGTCTTTTCAGAACCCTTTCCCCCGAAATGCCATCGTTCACGAACTCAACCCTCAGATGAGAAAAAAAAAAAGGATTTGGGGCTAAAGAGTCCAAGGGAGATGCTTCAAGAGTGATTTCTCTCATTTTCATGTGAGAAATTGTCTCAGGATTACAGTGCTCTTTTGTCATCTCCCGTAAATTATTTAAACGAAGCCGAGCGATCAAAATTTTCCCACCGTTTAAATTATTTAGGGCCTAAATGTTTCCTGTTGAATGCTTTTGTGTCAGATCCTAAGTGAGTAAAGTTAGCTTTTAGGCAACGGCTGGAAATTAAACATGAAACATCTGTCATTATTTTGTGAAGGATGATGGCCAAGAATGAAAAGAAGCAGTCTTCATTAGCAAAATCCATGCAGGGTTTACTCATGAATAAAATCCTACAGCTATGAAAAAAGGGTCTGTCTTTCTTTAGGCACCAAAAAATAAAACGATGGAGGAAGTAAAGGTTTGGTATGGTTTTTAGCAATAGCGCTTAGATTTATATGCCGCTTCGCAGTGCTTTACAGCCCTCCAAAAGAGTCAGCCTATTTGCCTCCCTCCCCAACAATCTGGGTCCTCATTTTACCGACCTCGGAAGGACGGAAGGCTGAGTCAACCTTGAGTCGGTCAGGATCGAACTTCCTGGCAGTGGGCAGAGTCAGCCTGCAATACCGCATTCTAGCCACTGTGCCACCATGGCTCTCTTTTAAATGTATTTTACTTATGAGATTTATAGGCCGTCCAAAGAAAAGATGATCTTTTTATTATTTTCAATCGTGTTGTTTTAATATACAAAACCAAATGTTTTGGCATGTGATGTGATTCTTAAAATCCAGACCTTTTTTTAATCATTTATTTGTGGGTTGTTTTTTTTGTAAATGATATGCAACCCCCTACGTTAATGGCTCTAGGTAATACGCCAAGTCCAAGAGGCAGATCTAATCTTTGACCTATATGAGAATAATGGAATAACAGAATTGGAAGGGACCTTGGAGGTCTTCTAGTCCAACCCCCTACTCAAGCAGGAGACCCTAGACCATTTCAGACAAATGGCTGTCCAGTCTCTTCTTAAAAACTTCCAGTGTTGGAGCATCCACAGCTTCTGGAGGCAGGTGGTTCCACTGGTTAATTGTTCTCATTGTCAGGAAGTTTCTCCTTCGTTCTAGGTTGCTTCTCTCCTTGATGAGTTTCCATCCGTTGCTTCTTGTCCTGCCTTCAGGCGCTTTGGAGAATAGCTTGATTCTCTCTTCTTTGGGGCAGCCCCTGAGATACTGGAACACTGCTATCTTTTCCCCACTCATCCTTCTCTTCATTAAACTAGGCAGACCCCATTCCAGCAACCATGATTATCCCAAAGTCATCCAATCAGCTTTCATGGCTAAGGTGAGAGTAGGACTCACAGACTCCTCGTGCCTTAACTACTAGACCAAACGGGCTTTCTTCCCTTAACTTACTAATTATTCATATTTGGTAGTCACTCTACAATCAGAATGGCTCAGAATATATATATACATACATACATACACACACACACACACACACACACACACACACACACACACACACACACACACACACACACACACACACACATATATATATATATATATATATATATATATATATATATATATATATATATATATATATATATATATATATATATATATATTCTGAGCTATTCCGATTGCAACAAAGATGATCAGGGGACTGGAGGCTAAAACATACAAGGAACGGTTGCTGGAATTGGGTATGTCTAGTCTAATGAAGAGAAGGATGAGGGGGGACACGATAGCAGTCTTCCAATATCTCAGGGGCTGCCCCAAAGAAGAGGGAGTCAAGCTATTCTCCAAAGCCCCTGAAGGCAGGACAAGAAGCAACGGATGGAAACTAATCAAGGAAAGAAGCAACCTGGAACTGAGGAGAAACTTCCTGACGGTGAGAACAATGAACCAGTGGAACAACCTGCCTCCAGAAGCGGTGAATGCTCCAACGCTGGAAGTTTTTAAGAAGAGACTGGACAGCCATTTGTTCGAAATGGTATAGGGTTTCCTGCCTGAGCAGGAACTAGACTAGATGACCTCCAAGGTCCCTTCCAACTTTATTATATATATATATTCTGCGACTCCCAGTCTGTATTTCACAAATGAGCGGAACCGATTCAGCTAGATAAACAGGGTGGCTTTTAATTTTTTTTTTTAAAAAAAGAGAGAGAGAGAGAGCATCACAAACGGCTCTGTCGGCGTAATAAAATGAGGTTGTGCGTGTGGTTTTGGGTCTGTGCGCGAGAGACACGCGCCCTTCTTAGCTCATGCACTTCTTGCACCGCTGCAAGCCGTTCTCGTTGCAGGCCGTGCACCGGAGGGCTTTGAAGGAGTCTGTGAAACAGTTCCGGAACATGGACATTTTGCTCCCATGGCACGTGAAGCAGGGAAGGAAGCCGAAGCCCCCGCAGGAGAGGCATTCGTGCGGGTGTTGAACTCTCTACAGAAAGGGGAGGGGGAGGGAAAGAACAATGGCATCTATTAGTTGCAGGAACAGACCCATGTCTCCCAACCCCAGCAAGTTTAAGATGTGCGCCCTTCAGCTCCTCCAAAGCTGCAGTCCTTCGTACTCTCTGAGTTTGGTTGTTTCCTTGCAGAGATTTCATTAACCAGAGGTGACAACCTCAGTGTTAGAAAGGAGTGGGGCTTTCTTGCAGACGTTTTATTGCCCAACTAGATAACATAATCAGTGCTGGAAGGGAGTGGGATTTGTGGAGAGGAGGAGGGGGAGGAGGAGGAGGAGGAGGAGGAGGAGGAGGAGGAAGAGGAGGAGGAGAAGGAGGAAGAGGAGGAGGA